CATCATCTATCGCCGATGGCTGACAGACTTTTTAATGATATAATTGTTTGCAATGTTTTGGCAGATGGCCATCTAGCGAAGCCAACCACCCAACCCCAATTTGGTAAACATCGCCCACCCCTATTAGTGACAAAAATCTAGATAAAACAGCTGATATAAGTAGTGACAACTCAGCAACAAGCTCCAGTGTTTCCCACAAATATCTGCATGCTAAGTGAAGTAATCAAGAGACACATTCACTTTTCCTTCAGCGCATGTTAAGACCACAGCACTGAGACAAACTTTATGAAATACGGAGGCAGGGTCATGCCCTCCAGTGTGAACACTAAGAGGAACTGTAACTGGTAGTCAGTCCTTCAGCATTCCTCCTCATGGTTTAGAAACGCTGCCCACAGAGCCACTTCTGCAACACACCACATCAGTGTTGCAAGTTGCAACACTTTTGAGAATGAAACGGGCAAGTAACAACACATTGTAGTCAAAGGATTAGAACACGCACAATCTCTGTAGTTTCCAGAGTCAATGATGCATGAATCAAGTCAAGTCCAAAACTAATTTGGAAAGACCAACTGCTGACAAATATTATGAATCAACTGAACACCAACTAATAAATGCATCTGATCAGGGTCAGGTGAGCTGAAAAGCAGCCTAAAAAGCAATTTAAAAGACACGTTTGACATTAGTTTGCAAAATTATAGTGACATTATAAATTTCTCTGGTAACCATAGACAACAGCACAAGTGATATCAGCAAATATTTATCTGAATGGGGCACTACTACTTTTACAATTCACATGGATTTCATGGTCATCTAGGTGTTAAATGCTAATATTTTTTTCAGATATTTAACAAATCCTAAACTTGAGCCAAACTGCGATTACTGTCTCTAAAATATATGATTTTTTCCCAAAGATCAAACCAGAGAACTTAACAGAAATGTTTAAGAAATAATTAGTAACACATGAGGTCACAATAAGGTTTCATTTGTTAATATTAGTTACATTATTTAACTAAAAATTAACAATACTTATTAATCCTAATGTTAATGCCAACATTTACTAATATGTGGACCCTTTTCACAGACTGTGATGACGCATTTCCACAGTTATTAACATAGTAAATCAAGCTATTTTTATTTAACAAAAATGTGCCTTTATAACACTTTGTGTTATAAGAAATATGCTTTATGTTACATTACTTTGGCATTAAATTACAGAAAACTAGTAGCCATCGCTACAGCATGAGTGTTTCTAATACAACAGTTGAGGGAATGATGGCAAATTTGTCATCTTTCTCTTTTCTGAACATGTAATAAATCTTTTGATATTTTTTCCTCTTTTGTAAAGTCAGAAGTGCTATCATGGATTTTATTTATTTTGCTATTGGAACATACTGCAACCTTAACTTTGGCAACTTCTGCTTGTGAGAACCCTGGAAATGTGAAAAGCATCCATTTTTAAAATGTACAATTTTAAAAAGTTTTATCTGTTGACATCAGTTAAAGTCGGTATGAAACTATCAAAATTTTGAGCATCCTTTCTTCTCTATTTTGATGTATATCCTAGTGAAACGAACAGGAAAAAAAAAAATGTAGGACAGGACTTGATTTTGTCCATCAAGAACTGATTGTTGGATAATGAACAAAGATATATTGCTCATTGTCAGTTCAGGTTAGCTAATGGATTAACTAATGGTACCGAATCAGATCAGACGTTATTGTAAAGTGTTACCAGATAATTGTTTTAAATATCTATTATTTAGGAATATATGGTCTAGCACAAGCACAATCAAATGATTTGGTGATGCTCTGAGACGTGCAATATTCCATAATAAATGTCACAACATCTACAGACTCTTTCACGGACACTATTTAGGCAGGCACGCAAACATTATGCCAATTTCATTTTGTAAGTGGAAGTGATATCCTCAATCTGCAAGCGTGACAACATGTGCTTAATATCCAGAATATCTAAAAGCTGTATTTAAGCCTCTATAATATAGCTTAATTACACTTGCCATGTGAATCTACAGAGGATGTCAGTCACCTCCAGTAATTAGGCACTGTTATACAATGGGAACAAGCACTTGCACACACACACACACATTACGGTTACGGGAATCACCGCTTCAGTGCGGCAGAACAACAAAATGGACTGCAGCCTTTTGCCTCACTTTCTCCATTCCTAAATCCACTTACCCGCCCCTTCCCTTTCCATTTCCTGCCCCCCTCTTCGCTCATTCACTAGCTCTCTGGTTTAAAACTGAAACCCAGCCTGTTTCCAACCTCTCTTAGTAGCACAGCTAAACTCCACATTCTCCAGCTATTACATCACAGAGGGCCTCTGAACGAACGACAGGCCAGTGGATGCTATTGGAAGAAACTGACCCGCAGTTGCAGTTACTGGAACAGTTTTGTGTTTACAGATACAGAAAACAGATCCTAGATTATGGACGTCATCAGTTTAGAATATCTGTAGATGCTCTCGCCACAGGGCATGTTTGTTTAAGAGAAGTATTCTAGGATTCAAGGAAATCAGATTGTGATCAAATGGCCCATTATTTGTGACTTGCATTACTGGTTTTCGAACACCACTGCCAATGGTAACAGAATGTCTTACTTTTGCATAATACAGGACAGGATGACGGCCACCCGAAATGCTTCCTCATGGACAGAGGGGTGTAATGCCGTATGCAAAATCCATTAGAACATCCAGAACTCCCAATCGGCAGTGCAGCACTTATTTCAGCGGGAACAGAAGCGACTCTAGGATCTTTCTACATTATAATAATATGCCAAAAATGGGATCACTGCTATTGACAAACTGAATTAAAGGAACTAGGTAAAAATCACTCTCAGTGGGATTCAAAGCATATTAGATGATACCTTAGTAGCTGATGACATCAGCAGATCTTCGTAAAGGTACTCCAAAACAGAAGTCAGCAAAACTAGTTTGTGCACATTAAAGATCTCAAATGACAGATCATGTGATTCAATGCCGCTCAACAGGATGAAAACTATGAACAACAAAATTAATTTGATGCCAAAAATTGCTTTTTAATACCCAAATGTAACTTCTTTCTAAATTGAATGACTTGAAGCTATATTTTATATGTACATGAGCAATAGTTCTCAAATACTGAGAAACACATTGTCAGGTAAATATGATGTATTTTTGTAATATTATGTATACAAACAATAGCAACAAACCAAGTGTAAAGAGAGATATACACAATAAGTATATCAAATGAATAATAGTCATTAGAATTTTGTTTTAATAACTTTGCTTCAATTATGTCAATAAAACATTTTCAAACAATCATAAAAATGTAGAAATTAATTTGAGAGAAATTAATACGTTTATTCAGCAAGGATGCATTAAATTGATTATTCTGAATGTTCTATTTATCACAGAATCCTGAAGAAAACGTATCACCGTTTCCACAAAAATATTAAGCTGCAAAACTGTTTTCAACATTGATGTTTTGGTGTATTTTATCAAATAAATCCAAACATTATATATATATAGCACAATATTTCTAATACAAGGGTACATCATTTAAGATGCCCACTCTTATGCTAGTCTCCAGTATGTATTGCTATTCTGCTCTTGATGATTATTAAATTATTAATTAACATTCTTCTTTACTCAAACTCTTTTGCGGAGGCTGTTGTCAAGCAAGGCTGCACAAAGGCTTCAGTACTGTTACAGCCTGTTCAGCAAAACATGTTACAGGCCTACACGTCCATATGACAGTCAACCCAGGGTGGCTTGTTCTACTCTGTAGCTGTTGGAGTGGGTGTGAACCATTCATTCATCCGTGCGAGAGGAGCAAAACTAGGCCTGCCAGCGATGAGCTCATTCGTTTAGCCAACGGACTCCTCTCAGCAGAACAGATGGGCGATCAGACTGCAAATTTGAGCCAGCAGTCTCTCAATTGTAACAAAGCTAGCCTTGAAACTTAACCATAACAATTCTCATTTGTTATACAATTTCAAAACTATTGTATAAATGTTTCTGTGTACGTGTTTGATTTACAAATTAAGGAACATTCGCCAAGTCTTGGGAACCTAGTGAAACATTTATATTTGGAAAATGATGCTCATCCACTTTAGTATATCTAACTAACTTTTAAAGTTAGGGCTGTGGGTCCAACTCAAGCACTATCAATTTCAACTGTTTTTCGTGGGCAGATCCAACAGCGAAGCGCATCCAAGTGCCTCTTGTTCCTACCAGTTTTGCACAACCTTGGGGAGCCCGCGCCCACGCCGCCCAGGAGAGCCCTGCCACCTTGACATTCCTGGAAAAGCACTGCGCAAATTTCACAACTACACCTCCATTATGTTTTTATCCATGCCTGTTGTCTGGTCTTAGCTAAAACTGTCCGATATCTTTGCATTTACAGACTGGAACTGCCCCACAGATCATGCACAGAGTGCATAAAAAACATTTCTGCAAATCTGTGCAATGCAGTCATCATTTTAAATCAATTTAATATTTTACCTAAAAACTATTAAAGTAGTAGCATTGCTATTTAATAAACAGGCCTACAATTTAAAAACCTATTTATATAAACTGAACTTGAAATTGCAATGCCATCGAGTTAATACTTCAACATAAAGCTAATGTAAAAAATATATATATTCTTGACAGAGAGAAAAATATATAGCCTAAATTAAATCTGCAATGCAAAATGATTAAATAATGAATCACCAGCTCATGATTAGAAATGCTTTGACAGATGTCAGACTCTGTGTGAACTTGTCTCTATCTGTTAATGCACATCTAAAACTACTTTTAAAAGTTCAGCATAAAAAAAGAAAAGTGCATGCAACTGGTTTCAAGCAGAAGCAGCACGATAACGAGAGAAGCGGGGCTGGTGCACTGCGCTGTGATTGAATGAACAAATCCAAAGCAAGCGACAAAAGGAAATATAATCACAATTCTCGGAAAAACAACGGCAACAAAGCGTACCATGTTTACAAGTACAAAAGCATCTTACCAAACCATGCCGTATGCGCCTTCTCCGATGTACGAGAGGTTAGTGTAACGTGGCCCGACGTCGAAAGCCTGACCGCGGACCATCTCGGCACCGGATCCGGGGTTCGGGCCGCCGCCAGCAGGGGCAGATACCGCAGCTGTCGCCATTGCTAAGAAACTGAGCTGCCTTTACACACACAACAAACGCGCTTTTTCTCACCCAAAGCAGATTATGAAGCTCAGGAAAAGCTCTTAGGTTGAATAAAACACCGCAGGAGGAAGGATAAGCGACGTGGTTAAACTAAACTGAAGTCTTCGCGTCGGAGTGAAAGGAAAGGGGCGGCTGAAGTGTTGTTGACTGGCATACATATAGTGATAGTAAGCTGCGCGTGCAGAGACTGACTACAAGCAGCAGCAGTAACGAGCGAAAGTGTTGCCGCAGGAAGTAACGGAGCAGATCACGTGGGTAGGGAGCGGAGAGTGGTTACCATAGAGATAGAAGTTACACTTTAATTCTCAAGAGGGTTAAAGATGCTTTAACCCTCGTTGATAAATGATGGGTAGGTCCTCTCGGTTTTACAGTGGTTGCAGATATTATTGTAAATCTGCTTCGGAAATTATAAGCAGATGTATCATGTTTGGGAGACTAATTGTAACAGTTTAACCACTTATAATTGAGCCAAACGGGTGACAGACAGGTCTTTGTGTACAAAGTATTTACACGACAAAAATCACTTCTGGTTAATCATTTGATTTGTGATCATGTGTTAATGTTAAATGTACACTGAAAAAAGTGATGTAGGATTTATAAACAATTTTCACTCAGAAACAAATAATTACAAAGTAACGGCAAGTAACGTGATTTTGAAGTATATAGGCTGAAACAGTAGGCCTGTTTTCTTGTAAAAGATACTCCAATAATCTTTGTTTTATTTACAGCTTCGAAAAAAATCATTTTTACAGTGTACCAGAACTGGTATTATCTGAATCAGCAGGTTCTTTTGTTTATTCTTATATAGGCTACATCATCGTCTTAAAACGTCAATATTAATGTTAAAAAAGCTAGTTTTGTTGGTCTTTTATGATGGTGTATCAGATGAACTTGATGAAAGATACTCTGAAACCAGCAAATCAGGCTGGTTTGTTGATCATCATCATCATCATCATCACATGTTTCTCATGTATTCAGCAAACCATATAAAGCTAATTAAGAGAAGCTCAAATATAAAAAAGCTTTACATTTCCTAAATGTCAATTCCAATACCATACTTCAATTTGTGTTATTTCAGTTTTCATGACTTCACTGTTAACCTAAAAAGTTATATATAATAATAATAATAATAATAATAATAATAATAATAATAATCAACAGTCAAAATATTACTGACCCCAAACTTATTCTGATCAAATGACCAAAATTGACAAACAGACCAAAAATGTAAGTTGTTATTCAGAAACTTCCTGTCTGTTGAACTGCTCAAATCTCACCTACACTTGCACATAGTCAAACTTATTGTGTCGCATTTGCAAACACCATTGGTTCTTAAGTATCTAAGGGGGCCTTAGATACTTAAGAACCAATGGTGTTTATATACGGAATATATAAATGGTGTCCACACGGAGACGCGTTTAGCTGTATACGCATACATTTTGTATCGTATAGGCGTTTCGTCCACACGGATCCGGCGTTTTGGGAGAGTGAAACTTCACTGTTAACCTAAAAAGTTATATATAATAATAATAATAATAATAATAATAATAATAATAATAATAAACAGTGAGTGTATGACTTTTGACTGAACCTAGTTTGCATTTCAACGGTAGTTTGGGTTATTGAAACTGATGACAAAGCTGTTATGCACATTTTCTTAAAAGATTCAAGTATGGTTGCACATAAAAAAGATACAAAACTGTTGCTGGGTCTTTCAAAAGGTAGGCATATGTACAATTTAGGTACTATTAAGTATTAATGTGACCCTTTAAGGTACTAACATATACAATTTAAGGGTAAATAAAGTAGCTTTTGTAACCTAGCGTACTGCTCCAGTGACAGCTTTGTACCTTTTTTTTTTCCTGAGTGTATGACTTAATATCAAGATATAAAACTCTAAGGATCTTACCTACGTGATTTGAATCTATGCATAATTTCATGATATAGGTCCTGTGTTCACATACTCTAGAAATGGGTCATTATAAGCTCATAAATTTGGATATTCTTTGCCCGTAAGAGTTCAGTTTTGCTCTGCAACCATTTTGTTGTAACAGAACAATCATGCGTGTACAAATTTTTACTTTGTGCAGCACATTTGCTTCACGTGTGAATCGTAAATCAGTCAGACAAATCTTCTCATAAGAAGAGTAAGTAAGTGCCTGTGAAAGGAGACCATGGTAAACTAAAGTGCACAGTTGTGTGGTTTACCACATTAGAGACAGCTAAACTAACACTGTCAACTGTGGCAACTAGTGCAGTTACAAATCCAGACACTAAACTGATGTGAAAACTACTTTATTCACATTATATCAGATTAAAGCCCAATGTTTGTGTCACTGGTTCTAAATCCACAAAAAGTTGCATAAAATGCTTTCCAAAATTGCAGGAAAATACCACAGGATGGCAATCACATTCAGCTTTTATGTTTTTCAGACGCTGGCATAGCCTAAACATTACAACATGAGAGAACATTTAGGTACAAGATTCTCTGTAGTACTGTACACTCAGTATGGAATCTGTATTATTTGATCCAGTATAAAACATTACTTGCACACAACATCAGCAGTTGCGGTAAATGATAAGCAAAATTAGGTCTGAAAAGAGTCAGCTCACTTAGGTTGATCAGTTAAGTTGCCTGTACAAAGATGATTCTGAAAAGTACACAAAGACAAGGCACTTTATTATGTACGGTTGAGAGCTGTTACACAGTACAAACAGCAACAATTACAAAATGTCCTGTGAAAAAAAACTGCAGGCGAAAAGTGTATAGAAATGCACACCAGCATAAAGTCTACCGATGCATACGTTCATGATCTTTCCTTTCTCCTGGACAAAGACACATCAGTAATTCAGTGCTCGAACCCTTTGAAGATCCAACTTTTAATACTAAGTACAATAAATGCATTAGAAGACACAGTCAAGAGCAAAACACATTCTGACTGAACAATGCCATTTGGCACTAGAAATGAAAATTCTGTCATCATTAACTGCTAGATATTCTGAAGAATGTTTTTGGCCATACAATGAAAATCAATGGGGTCCAAAAAACATTTGTTAAATTATCTTCTTTTGTGTTTCACAGAAGAAAGTCATACAGGTTTTGAATAACATGAGGGTGAGTAAAAGATGACAGCATTCACATTATGAGCAAAAATAAGGCATTGCGCATTTAAAATTCCCATCATTGGCACATCCCATTTCCTAATGAGTTATAGGAGATCATCGCTGATGATGTGCATAGATTTTTGGCTTTTACAGTCATTGGCAATTACAAAAATTAAGTAATGCAGAATTAATTCCGTATCTAAAATGGATGGGCAATTTGCTATATTTGTCAATCTAGGGGAAATAACACCATATTTATAATATACAGTGGGATCCAAAAGTCTGAGACCACTAGTGAAAATGCTTCTACATCATGAAGTGCCTTTGTTTTATACTCTTCAAAAAAAAAAACAAAAAAAAAAATAAAAAAAGATAAATAAAATAAAAATAGAAAAAAAAAGTAAAATAAAAATAAAAGACATTAAATAAAAAAATGTATATATTTGCGCTCAGTAAGATTTTATTTTTTTTAATAAATTAATATTTGTATTCAGCAGTGACGATCAAGTGGCTGTAAAGACTTTTACAGTGTTTTCAATAAGCACCAAATCAGCATATTAGAATGATTTCTGAAGGATCATGTGACACTGAAGACTGGAGTAATGATGCTGAAAATTCAGCTGTGCATCACAGGAATAAATTACATTTAAAATACATAAAAATATAAAACAGTTATTTAAATTGTAATATTTCACAATATAACAGTTTTTACTGTGTTTTTGATCAAATAAATGCAGCCTTGGTGAGCATAAGAGACTTTCTTTCCGACCCCAAACGAGTGTGTATCTATTTTAAATCCCAGATTTTCAATGGCCTCAGACTTTAAGATGCCACTGTAATAATGTTTTGTGATAAACTTTAAATATACTTCATTATATACATTATAAGATATAAATCTGGACATTTGCACTCTTTTATTAAAATATAGAATGCATTGGACTGAACCAAACGAGACATTTTCCCCATACAAACACCAAATCAACATCTCATCGCTCTGTCTTCACCTTCCTCATTCACTATCCATTAGGTTAGCGATATTCTTGGCCTTATCACATTATAGTGACTGTGCTACTATATCAGCTACTCGTCACGAGGCTTTCAAAAAGATTGAGCGGCCGTAACATGAGACGGCTTGCAGCATGCAGGACGCGCGGTTTGCAAAGTCTGGCTATTATAATATAACACCAACACGCCAGTATTAACACTGATATTTGGGGCAAAAAGGCACTGTAACAAAACCAATAAGAAATGATATGCATAAATAAAGGTTTACTGTACATTTTGAAAAACTGCTTTGTGAAAAGCTGCAGCAACAGAGAGACGATCTTGGCAAAGTCAGACTCGTAAATACAGTTTTGGCACATGAAGGAGCGTGTTTACACAGTACAGTACAGCCATAAATACTTTCTTTTTTTCAAATAAATAACAGTCTTAAAAATACTAACCACTACAACACTGGATTAGTACATCTGCTGACAGAGCTGAAGGCCTTCTAGTCAGTTATTTCATTATTGAAGCTGGTGTGGTCCGAAATGCAACGCAATACTGTATATGTTAAGACTATTCACATCAGTTTTCTCTGCATTGTAACAGTCGTATCAAATAGGGAGCGCGCAACCAACAAAGTACGCTCTGAAAAAATATTTGCATTTGCTTTACGCGTGTCTCTAAGGTACTACATTGTTTATGAGATATTAAAGAGATTAAATTAAAATTCTGTCATTAATTACTCACCCCTTTTGTCGTTTCAAACCTGTATGCATTTCTTTTTTTTTTCTGTTGAACACATCAGAAGATATTTTGAAGAATGTTGGCAACTAAACAGTTTTGGCATTGACTTCCATTGTATTTTTTGTCCATAGAGTGGACGTCAATGGGAACCGGAACGGTTTGGTTACCAATATTTTTCAACAAACAAAATATCTATTATGTTCCATATTATGTTCTACACAAAAAATTAAAGCCATACAGGTTTGGAATGACATGAGGGTGAGTAAATGATGACAGGATTTTAATTTTTCACATAACTATCCCTTTAAGCACCAGTAAATGTATATAAGCTGGTAAAAACAAGGCAAATAGTTAAAAGATGGAAACATGTTGTTTAAAAATTAAGGCAAGTTCAAAGGTAGCAACAAAGAGAGTTAATAAATGAC